ACAGGAGGAAATCGCACGTTAACCACAGGAGCTCTCTGCTGGGTACATGGTCTGTTGGCAGTTTTATTTGCCATGTGTCTCTATAAACCACCAGAAAGCGAACCATAAATGGTACCCTAAGTGTTTGCTGCTCTTTATTTATTATTTCTTTGGTCCTGATTTATTTTATAAGAATGACAGTGTGTCTTTTGTCCTGTCTTGCCCCCTTAACCCCTAACCGGTCACAGGGGATGGCCGCCTCTCCCTGAGCCTGGTTCTGCCAGAGTTTTCCAGTTAAAAGGGAGTTTTTCCTTCCAACTGCCACCAAGTGCTTCCTCATATGGGGTCATTTTATTTTGGGGGTTTTCTCTGTGTTATTGTAGGGTCTTTACTTTGCAACATAAAGTGCCTTTAGGCAGCTGTTGTGATTTAGCACTATGCAAATAAAACAGAATTTAATTGTCTTTTAAGAATGCACTTAAACCGTGTCCATCTGACCTTTTATCTGTCTATCAACAGGACTTCCGTGATGCAGTGTCTAAAGCCTCTCGCCAGAGTGGGAAGCCTGTGATTGAGGACCGTCTTCTAAACCAGATACTGTACTCCCTCCCACAGCTCTACGAACTCAACCAAAACCTCCTCTCCGAACTGAGACAAAGAATAGCTAAATGGTATAACAAAGTTTTTTAGGTTTTTTTTACTGAGAGCTTTACATGTGCTCTTGTTGCAGATTGGGAGCTAAACCATGCAGTAATAACTGATAGTCTTCAGAGGAAGAGGGATGTTTTTATGTTTTAACTCCATACTAATGCCCACGGTCTTAAATCAAGTCACGATACCTATGTGGTGCTGTTAGTGCCTGTTGAAAGTGTGGTTAGTCGGGTAAAGAGGAACATTGGTGAATTTTTTCTGTTCATGGTCCACAAGGAAGTATTCAAGCTCTGGGTAAGAATATATATTTTCACATGTTTTTGATTATTCATTTACTCTATAGGAGAAAAAATAGATACTATAAAACAAAAGTATGGACCAAAGTATGCCCCCCACACCTAATCACCTAGATGGATCAAGGAACTGACCAGTGCTTTTCTTTTCGCTCGGTTTTGTTTACAGGAACGAGAATCCCCAGGTAGCAGACATTTTCCTGAAACAGGGGCCCTATCTGAAGATGTACTCGACATACATTCGTGAGTTTGACAGGAATGTGGCTCTTCTGGATGAGCAAACTAAGAAGAATCCAGCATTTGGCGCAGTAGTACGGGAATTTGAGGTAAAGGTGCTCAACCTGTTCTGTGTGTAAATGTCTTTGCTCCCTTTTTCAAAAACAAAACAAAAACCATTAAATGTTGATTTGGTTTTGTTCTCTTTTTTTTGTTAAGGCTGGTCCACGCTGCGCCAGCTTGGCTCTGAAGCATTACCTGTTAAAACCTGTACAGAGGATTCCTCAGTATCAGCTGCTACTCACAGGTAAACCTGTAAATAAAGAGTCACTGAAATAGATCTTTATGTTTCTTATTTACTACTTAAAGGTGAGTTTAACTTAAGTACAAACTCAGCTCACTGTTGTAGTTTTGGACTCCTAAACTGTACACGTTGGCGCAGCCTTTGATGTCTCATCTCAGGCATCATGCTGCCCTCTGGTGCTTATTACGAAAATCTTTTGTGCTCCTTCTTGACTCCTTGTATAATAAGGCTTTTGAAGTGCAGTCCGAATCAGATTTGGTGACGTAACATAAGCTTCAACAAGAGTGAGCTTGTGGATTCACGAGTCTGGTTAATCGGTCAGTGCCAACATACGATGAATGTTTCCCACGTCACTCTTGTATAGCTGCGTTACGTAAACACCTGAAGACCTTTTCATCCAGGATTTAAGTTCTAAATCATTCCAGGAATTGGCTATAGAGACTGAGCCCTTAACACCCATTTGCGTACTTATTGATCACTTGTTGTGGTTACACTGTTGATAGCAAAACTTAAATGTTTTTTTTATTTTGTTTTAGATTATCTAAAAAACCTGCCTGAAGATGCAGACGACTACAAAGACACAGAAGGTAACGACATAACCTTTATTTTTTTATTAATTTCTTTAAATCTGCAGATCCGTAAATATTCTTGATGGTGTTAGTGGAATGGAAATATTTCTTGTCATGTGTGTGACAATTACAAATTTGTGTCCATTCAGCTGCCCTTGCTATAGTGAAAGAGGTGGCCAGTCATGCAAATGACTTCATGAAACAAGGGGTGAGAGCAAAGTAGAAATTTCATGATAAGCAATCACATGGTAAATCCCTAATACACGTTACTTACACATTCCACTCGGTTTTTTTCTCAGGATATCTTCCAGAGTTTGATCCGTGTCCAGTGCCTTCTGATTGGCAACCATGAGATTGTCCAGCCTGGTCGGGTGAGGTCATAAAGCTTTTGTAAGAATTAGTACACAGGCACAGGCAATGTCAATGTAGGAAAAGCAAAGGTTGTGCTAACACGGATGATGTCTCTCTGATTCTAATGTCCCAGTGAGCCATCACGCTTTTCCAGCATGAAGGACCCTGGGAAAAACTGAAGCAGCTAAACTGGTTTCCCATTAGGCGATACATACTGTACTCAAGCAGGTGTAACCACCAGAGTCTGGTTTATTTGACTATGCTTGGGCATATTTAACTGAGTTGTTCCACTTGGTTAGAAAGTGGGAACGCAATGTTTTCTCAGTTGAGATTAACAATATGTTTAGCAAGTGTTTCCTGGGCTGACGTAGGCAGCGTTAACGTAGCATGTTATTTATTGATGGCCGAAACTGAAGCTCCCACACAAGCACTGGGAGACCATGAAAACAGCACACAGGAGTGTGCCTGAGACCAGGATGTTCTTGCTAACCACTGAGCCACCATGCTGCCACGTGATTATTAAGGCGGGCTGCTAATATTGACCTTCTCTAGGCCATCAATTGGAGAAAATAATGAACTTCAAGCTCTGCAAAGTACTTTTCTTCACAAGTTGCAAGAACAAGTTCTGGATAAAGAAAAGGCTAATTTTTGCTAATTTACACTTTTGTGATTTCTCTCCCCCCCCCCTTTTTTTTT